AGAATAAAAATGATTCTTACGGGCGGCGGTTTTCTGGGCGACCTTCGTCTTCATTCGCACGCTGAGATTCCACCGCCGACGGAACCGGTCCGACCACCGTTGGCTCCCTTTCCACTTCACGAGGGGGTAGAGAATCTTCATGAACTCCCGGGACCACTCCTGCAGGCGGCCGACGGACACCGCGGTTCCCTTGCGTCGCCAGTCGAGCAGTCGCTCATACACCTTAATCTCCATCGGGCGGTACCATGACGCCCTGCCGTGACCGTGCATGCGGCACCTGACAGAGTGGGCTTCCTTGAGGAAATCAGCGGCACGCTTCCAGTTGGCAAGGCACTTGCGGTGGATGCCACTCTCGCGAGCCAGAGCACGCACCGACACCGCCACATCCAGCTGCGCGACCCACTTCAACTTCTCGGCGGCAGTATAGGCCTGACGCTTGTGGTCGTTGGGCTTGTGCCTGGGAGAGGGGGGGCGAGAATCACGGTTCTGTGAAGAAGGGTGAGGTCGCTTTCGATTACGTGGAGGATAAGTTGGTATCGGGAGTTTCTCGGGGAGGCCATCGCGTGACCAGTATTCGACGCCGTCGTCGTCGTCACCGCCCGGCGCACCCTCGGGAAACACATCCTCAGCAGTGCCGGCCTCAGTAGCGGCCTTGGTGTCGGCCTCAGTGCCACCCTCGGCGCCGGCGTCGCCCTCAGCGCGCCAACCTTCCTTGGCGTCTTGCACGTCGTCGTCAGCGCCGACTGCAGATTCATCCCACGTGAAATCTTCTGGCTGGCCCCAACGTGGTGCTGGCGCTGGAGCGGGTACGTCAACATCTGGGCCCTTGTCATAATCCGGTTCCGACAGATACTCGTCGAACGCCGATTGGAGCAGGAGCGTGAGCACGGGGTTGTTGTCGATGTGAGGGGCCACCGGACACGGAGGAACAGGAGGAACAGGAGGAGCAGGGGGAGTTGGAGGCACTGGAGGAGCCGGAGGAGCAGGCGGCGCAGGAGGCGCAGGAGGCGCAGGTGGCTCTGGAGGGTCTGGAGGTATGCGGCTATACCACCCGTCAGCTGTAACACGGTACGCGGGCCTACTAGAAGGTTTTTTTCTTGAAGAGAAAATGAGTGCCTGTGAATTCCGCCATGGCTTCCGCAGCCAGGCGGGCGAGAAAAAGAAGACTGAATCAGAAACTGCACGCCTGGGTGTTGAAATGGGAGATTGAAGGGGACCCCTTCTGGTTTGCGGCTCGGGGTCCTCGTCGATGAGAGACGAGTACACCCCTGCCCCAACCCGCAGAGGAGGGTTGGGGGCACCATCCATGCTGCGCTGGCACGGCAGATTCCATCTCGTTCTGGATGGTTCTGCCGAGATGCTCCTGCCTGGCAGCTCATGCCAACCTGATTGGGCCGCACGGCAGGTTTTGCATCAGCGCTGGCAGGTGCGTTGCACCGGGACGGGTTTTGTGCGGTGGGAAATCGAACCGTGGCAAGTTTCGCCGTCATTCCATGCACGACCCCGCGTGCATGGTACAGTGTTGTATTCGCCTTATTCACGGCTTCAGAATGATATCCTTTACAGAGAAATTCATTTTGCCTTTATAAAAGCGCCGGCGCTTATGGCCGTTACTCAATTACAAGCGCCCCCCCTAAAAAATAATAATTTATTATAAGCGCATATGCGCTACTATCCGGGGTATTACGGTATTTTTAGAGGCATCAGGGGGTCCAAATTTGAAACATCAGCCATGGGTGCCGCGCGGTTGGATTTTGGCTGCAATAAGGGAATGTACCCCTTAGAGTACATGGCTAGTCGAGGTCGTTTTGAATTCCCCCGTACTATTATATAAGCTGATGTATGTGCTTGTTTGAATGATCTCAGTCATTCTAAAATTCACTCTGACTTGAGGTAAATATTTCCACTGCAACACACTCTATGCGAACCTTCCTGAGGTGATCCTAGGCTCGATCAACTTTATGATTGCATAACACTTGCATGAGGAAAAAATAGACTACAAAATTTGAGATTGTACTATGAATGCATAAAGAATGCCACAATGGTCTAGCCAAAAGCCTTATCCCATTGATGTATAACTGTCAACACCAAGTGTTTTGACCTCTTTAGAGGATTTCTCTCTACAAGCTGGGTTGACTTCATGGACACGATTCCACAATTATTGTTGCCACCACTGTGGAACCTGTCAGAAGTGCCGCCTTTTCACAGCCAGTCCGTGTCAGGCGCTCACAGTTAGGCTTCTTGGATTGAAATGGGATATGGAGCAGAAGTGTTCAATCAGTTACCATCACATATGCATCACCGTCCGATAAGGTGTGTGCACCATGAAATTGCGGCTGGATTTTGGTTTGAGAAACAAAATCTTGAACCGAGTCGCGGGTTGACCGAATCACTGTACTGAAGCGCTTTCTAACAAAAAGTCGGCTCGAATGGCCGACAGCCTCATCGATTTGCGATATAGATTGTTGTCGCCCTAGACTTTTCGCCACATTATTGTCCCCACCCTGCCTGATGAAATTCGTTCGTCACTCTCCGCGACAAACGGTGGCATTCGCATGTTTCATCCACCACTTCAACCAGCCAAAAAGAAAACCTTTTTGCAACCATGACACCCGCTTTCCTGTTCGCAGACATCCCCAACCCTTTTCCATCCCTCCTCCCTCTCCGCGATTATTCCGCTGGATTGCTCGATCGAATGGTGATGGTGCCGAGTCAGCTGTACACTTCGAGCATCGCGTTCCCAAATCTCTCGTTCATTTCACTTCACACCCCCTCGTCACCTTTACGCGTTCCATCGCGTTCCTCGTTCAACTCGGCTGGCCCAATCAGGAATCATTTGACCATCCAAGCCCATCCAAGTATTTCTCCTGCTCCTGTCATCAATGGTTGTGTGATCCTTGGGTTATTCTCGGCCATCATTCCCTTCAGTAGCAGCTTAACAGTTTGAAACCAGGCTTCCCAGCCGTTGGTTTCACCATCTCTTACCACCATTTCTTCCCCTCGCTGACCATCATGGGTTCGACTTCTGCTGACTACCACCAGGTGGCGTCTGCGCCATGCCAAGTCCATCGCCGGAACCAAACGTGCTGCTGCCACTCGAGAAAACGAAAGGCCTACTCAAATGGTTTCGACGGCGAGGTCGACACCTCCAGTAGTCCGCTGAAAAGGGGTTGCGGCGTAACGCGCTCAGCGCCTGCCAAGTCAGCCCCTTACGTATTCCCAGGGGCGAGTCAACATATGAACGAGTTTTATGAAATCGACGATAAAATTTTGGGGACGGGGAAATTTGGAACCGTGCGAAGATGCACGTGCCGATCAACAAGGATGCAATACGCGTGCAAGTCCATTTCCAAGGCGACGCTAATCGAAGCGGACGATATAGAGGACGTTCGACGCGAGGTGCGTCTGCTGCAGAAATCGATGGGTCATCCAGGCGTCATGCGGCTGCACGCGGTGTTCGAAGACGACAGCGACGTGTACCTGGTTACAGAGCTCTGCGACGGCGGCGATCTCTTCGACGAAATCGCGAGACGCGGGAGATTTAGCGAGCGCGACGCGGCGCAGGTGTTCATGCAGGTGGCGTCGGCCGTCGCATTCTGCCATTCCCGCGGCGTGATGCATCGCGACATCAAACCCGAAAACATCCTCCTATCCACCTCCCCGCTCCTATCCTCCGAAAGAACACCGTCGGACCTGGCGGAAACCCCGGCGCAATCGCAACCCCCGATCGCCAAACACCAGCACCGCTCGTACCACTCCGTGAAACTCGCGGACTTCGGTCTCGCGGTCCCTTTGGAGCGTGGCGAGTGGACGACGGGTCCCGCGGGGTCGCCGTACTACATGGCGCCGGAGGTGATCTGCGGCCAATACGGCCTCCCCGCCGACGTCTGGTCGCTCGGCGTCGTGCTTCACATCCTCCTCACCGGCTCTCCGCCTTTCTGGGGCCCGGACGATCAGGGGATTCTAGACAGCGTGGTGAACGGGCGGGTGGATTTGGGAGAAAATTCGGCAGCGTGGGCGGGTGCGCGCGTGTCGGCGGAGGCGCGCGGGCTGATTCGGTGCATGCTGGAGAGAGACCCGCGGCGACGACCGTCCGCCAACAAGGTGCTCTCGCACCCCTGGCTGCTGCTGCACGCCTTCGGCGGTCGCATCGTGCGGAAGGTGAAAGGTTGTGCGCATTCGGAGGAGGGGAGCAATGCGTCCGCGACGGCTGGTGTGATTGTATCGAATGTTGGCGCAGTGTTAGGTAGGTAAGGTGCGAGGTTTCCGCTCGCGACGCTCCTTCGCAGGAGTCGGCCCGCAGAGAAAAAAGGCGTGCGCGGGCTGCGTCCAGCGCGGAACATGACGTCGATGCGGAATGGCGCTCCATGCCGGAGCTTGCGGTTGCGACCATCTCTCCCAGGAGTGCAGTGCCGGACTCTGCTGAGGTCTGAGGAACAGTGAAGGGCGTTCGCGACAGGAAAGGGCGTGCTCATGTGCTTGGCCTGGAGTCGTTGGATCGAAGGAAGCAGCAGCTGTCGAGGGTGTCGCGCGAAGGGCGCTACTTGACATTCGAGCAAACCACATCTAGGGTTGGCTGGCGAAGTCTGGCTGAACAAGCATCAACAGATTTGGATGAAACTGTAAATTGATGTTAGTGTACCTCTTTAGCTTAGGTCGACTATTGCAACATAGATATCAACTTAGGACCCAACAGGACATGTATGATGATTGAGAATTCAAATGCAGAGTTTATTTCCATTTACTAAATTACAACGGTACTACCAGGGATTTTCACTACTCGGATTTCAGAGTTACCATAGATACCAGTAACGGGGAGAGCCAAAGCCAGTGGAGCCAGCCGTGTGGAACAGACGAAGATGGGCCGGGCCCTACATGCCTCAAACGAAGCTGCTCCACCTGTTGCTTCTGATGCTTATGCTGATGATAACGCACAGCACGCTGCTTACTGTGGTCATAATCTAAACACGGGCACGCCAACAGCCTTTCCCATCCCACTGCTATCCCCACCCCGTTTCCCACCCCCCCCCTGCCAAGAGCGGTTCTGTCCCTGCTGTTTGCGGCGATGACCTCTTTTCCCCCCGGCTGCCACCTGTCATCCCCTCACTGGCTGCTGCTGCTCCCCTCTGCACCACCGCATCATCCACTGGGTGCGCTGCAGAGGCGGAGAGAGGAACGTTCTGGGAAACGTCCTCGGGGCCGTCAACCACAACTGAGACGAGCTCACACGAGTGGTACGGCGAGGCCTCACTGGACCGGTCACGGCTGGCAGGTGGAATGCCATGGGGTGTGTGGGTGCTGACGTCAGCATCAGCAGCCACACGGCCTGAGCTGGCAGCACTGAAGGCAGCAGCGCCACTGCTGGCAGCACTGCGAGCGGCGGCAAAGGCAGCAGAAGCCGCAGCTGCAGCAGCAGAGGTCACAGCAGACACGGCAGCCGCAGCAGCTGAAGCTGAACTCCCAGGCCCGTCTGACACGCTCCTGGGACGGAGGTGTGCAGGAGGGCTTGTGCCTGCCACCGCTTCCAACCCATCCGAACCCATTCGCACAGCAGGAGAGGCCTGCGCACTGCTGGAAAACGGATGCCGTTTCACCGGCACAAGACGAGTTTGCGCGTGCCGGTCGGCGAGCTTCGACTTCTTCCCACCGCCCTCTTCCTCATCCCCGTCCTTATCATCATCATTGGAGGAGGAGGAGTCGTCACCGCCTGCGCCGCCCTGCTCCTCATCGCCATCCAGCATGGTGAAGGCGGACTGCAGCGAGGGGTGCAGGTAGGCGCGGGCGAGGAAGGAGTGCGGGTCCTCGTTGGGGTGCACCGTGCGGTCTATCGTGTCCTTGCGATTCGCCTCCTGTGTTGTGGGGGATTGCAGGGAGGTATGCAGGTAGGCAGGCAGGCAGGCAGGCAAGGAGGCAGGGTAGGCAGGCAGGGAGGCAGGGAGTGGATGGTGGAAATGAGGGCCTTGTGTTGCAATTAGTGCGAGCGGCAGCGAGGATGAATAGGGGTAGAGGGTTTGAACGGCGGATGTGCTGTGCTTCCTGTACCGACACACAGGAGGGCTCATCTCGAGAGCGAGCTTGGAGAAGGTACTGGAGAACTGGCCGCGGGCTAAAGAACAGCCCAGTGCACTGCACAGCAGCATTGAGGCGCCTCACCAGTGCTCTCCCACCTCTGCTGTCATGTAGCAGACAGGCGCACCTCACAAGCGAGCTTGGAGGGGACGCACCTCGAGGGCGAGCTTGGAAAGGTGCTGGAGAACTGGCCGCGGATGAACGCCCAGTGCACGATGAGCGTGACGAGTAGCGGCAGCTCTGCGGTGCCTCAAAAGTGGTCTCACACACTACTGTAGCGCAGGGGATGGACGCACCTCGAGGGCGAGTTTGGAGAAGGTGCTGTGGAACTGGCCGCGGATGAACGCCCAGTGCACGATGATGGTGACGAATGGCAGCGGGATGAGGCAGCACGCCTGCGAGGGCGCGTCCTTGAGTGAGAGGATGCCGCCCAGCGTCACCTGCTGCACCAGCATGGCCGCCACCAGGCGCGCGTGGAAGTGCGGCCAGAATGCCCCCGCCATCTCGTACCGTGGACAGTACACGTTTATTATCTGCCATGGGGGGGGGAGGGAGGGGAGGGGGGACAGGGGATGGGAGGGGAAAGGAGGGGGGACAGGGTTAGGCTCTTGCCATCTCATTCCGCGCACAATACACGTTTATTATCTGCCATGCAGGGAGGGAGAGGGGGTGGCGGAGAGGGGGAACAAAGAGGCACGAGTATGCTCTGTCCATGTCATGGTGCATGGCACAGATGCTGACTTGCATGGAACAGATGCTGACTTGCATGGCACAGATGCTGACTTGCATGGCACAGATGCTGACTTGCATGGAACAGATGCTGACTTGCATGGCACAGATGCTGACTTGCATGGAACAGATGCTGACTTGCATGGCACAGATGCTGACTTGCATGGCATAGATGCTGACTTGCATGGCACAGATGCTGACTTGCATGGCAAAACCAACTGACTGCCCAAAGGGTGGGGAGGAAAGAGGGAACGTGCCGTGAGGCGAGCCAAGCCCCCTGGTGAGCGGCAGATCGGATGCAGCCGATGCGGGTGCTCACAGCGAGAGAGTGGGCTCGTGGGATCTCTGATGCCCCAGGTACACGCAGCACAGATTGACCCTCTCGCCGTAGATAATAAGAGGAGCCGACCTGGTTTTCGTTAAGCAGGACAAGAACGGCCGACCTGGTTGTGGTAGATGACAAGAATGGCCGACCTGATTGCGGTAAATGACGAAAGCAAGGATGTAGAAGGCGAGGGCGAAGGGCAGATAGAGCGGGTTGGTCACACAGTAGACGAAGGGCAGCAGGAAGTATAGCTCCACCTGTCGGGGGAAAGGTGAGGGGGTAGAGGAAGAGGAGGGTAGAGTGATGCATATACAGCGAGGAGGACTTGTTTGAAGCATGAGTGGGAAGGGAAGGGCAGCGGTGCAGAGGAGAAAAGACAGTGAGGAGCAGAGGAGAAGGGGTGGTGGCACTTGCGAGAGGGAAGGGGAGGTGGTACCTGCGAGAGGGGAAGGGGAGGTGGTACCTGCGAGAGGGGAAGGGGAGGTGGTACCTGCGAGAGCGTGTCGACGAGTCGGATGGGGCGGGCTCTCATGGCCTTTATCCTGTCCGCTGGCGTGCGCACCAACAGAGAATTCTGCCGCCCAGCAATGGACAAGCAGTGATGAGGGGGATCGTGGGAGGCAGGAGAATAAAGAAGTTGGGGGGGAGGGGAAGGGGGGAATGAGTGGAGAGATTGTCCTCGTATTTCGCGATGCGATGGGAAGGAAGCGAAGGAGGTAGAGAAGGCAGAGGAAGGCAAAAGTAGGGGCGTCAGATCAAGGGGCCAAAGAAACGGGGCAAAGTGAAGGGGGGCATGGGAAGGGGGCAATAGGGGGGCGGTGGACGACAAGAATGATACTTACCAAGGCAGTACTGACAGAGTGGGTTTGGGAGTGGTGCACACCTTGAGTTGGAAGAGCAGCAGGTACCAGACCTGCAGTGCCTCCCCCCCCATGCCGACCCACCCATCCACCATGGTGAAGGTCATGAAGAACGTCGCCTTCATGGGGATGCGCGCCCCCAGGATCTGCGGTATGCTGTGCCCCGTGAGGGTGGTGGGAGGTTGGTGGGGGGTGGAGGAAGGAAGTGAGGGTGCCGCTCCTGCCATTGCTGCCACTCCTGCCATTGCTGCCACTCCTGCCATTCCTGCCACTCCTGCCATTCCTGCCACTCCTGCCATTGCTGCCACTCCTGCCATTGCTGCCATTCCTGCCATTGCTGCCACTCCTGCCATTCCTGCCACTCCTGCCATTCCTGCCACTCCTGCCATTGCTGCCACTCCTGCCACTCCTGCCATTGCTGCCATTCCTGCCACTCCTCTCACCACTCCTCTCACCACTCCTCTCACCACTCCTCTCAGTATACCCTAAACCCCAAGGAGTGACGTTTCACACCACCTTCCTCGCGGTTGGGGCCAGGTCGAAGAGGTTCGTCCAGGCTATACCGGGGTTTGACTCTCTGTTCGACCCTACCTTATGGAGGGAGGGCGCACCTGGTGGGGGAAGGCGCACCTGGTGGTGGGAGGAAGGCGCACCTGATTGAGGGAGGGCGCACCTGATGGGGAAAGGCGCACCTGATTGAGGGAGGGCGCACCTGGTGGGGGGAGGCGCACCTGATTGAGGGAGGGCGCACCTGGTGGGGGGAGGCGCACCTGATTGAGGGAGGGCGCACCTGGTGGGGGGAGGGCGCACCTGATAGTGGGAGGGCGCACCCAAGGTTGAAAAGTTCGCTTCCAAATTTTCGCCCGAAAATTTCGCTGGAATTTTTGAAAAATCCGGAAAATTTTCATGAGTGTTCCGGAAAAATCCAAAATTTTGAAAATTTCATTGTTTTTCATGTGTGTTCCGTGAGTTTTTATGAGAGTTCATGACAGTTCATGATTTTTCGTGAGTTCTAATGAGTTACGAGTGTTTAACCACTTCGACTACTTCGTGCTGGTCAAGGTCAACTGCGCGCGAAAGCCAAGACCCACGCGTGAGGTCCTGACGCACGCGTGTGGCCCCTCACGGCTCGCGCATGTGCCAGCGCACTGTTGCGAGCGTGTCACATTAGTGCCCTGTCTCGCGCAGGACAAATCATGATTGTCTCAGCGATTGTCTTTTCCTGTTTGACCGAAGGTGCTCGGGATTTCGGTTGAAAAAACGTATCTTGCGCTGTCTTGGCGAACATGAACTTTCGCCAGAAAGTCACACTATTTTGCGTGATCATTTTGGCAAGGTACAAAACGGTAAATTATGTTTTGCAACGGAAAAACGACATTCCCACACGAGCCTTAATGAATATTCACGGGAATTCATGAATGCTCGCGAGGGGAGTCAGCAGGGGCGTTTGGAATGAAGTGTAATTTGAAGACAGTTATTCTAAAGAAGCGGATCAAGCCAAATGCGTGAAGTTTGACAACCGTTTTACCAAAACAACATGGCGAAGTCCTGAATTACAGTTTGTTTAGTGTTTGCCTTGTGATTTTCTTTGCTCATGCTTAGTGTTTTCTATAAATGCGTGTGTGTGTTTAGATATAACCAATCCTTTGTGAATCAACCTTCTGTGCAACCTTTTGTGAATGCAAATTTCTCTATCGACGAATTGACGCGAGAACTTTCTGCACACGCACCTATCAATCGTCTAACGCTGCGCAAATGAGTTTTGGGAGTGTTGTAGTACACACCATTATTTTCATATTTGAGAAATCCCTCTACAAATGCGGATCCTTGGATAAGGGCTGGTTTTTACCGGGCATCTGAGGACCCTTGGAAGTGATCCCGTGAGGACTACCTAGTGTGGATTAAAGGTGTGTAAAGAGCTTCTAGGTCTCAAGCTATGTTGCAAAAGACGCTGGGCGCGTCGTGCGTCCTGCGTCT